ACACAAGAATATTCTGAAATTGCGACATAGGCAGTTGTGAAAGTCAGGCAGAGGACATGAGAACCCCACCTAATAAGGTTTTTTATTATTTCTTTTTACAGAGGGATCATTTTAAGCTAGACTGGCACAGGTTTAATGTGAAACAAAAGTTAATGGGGAAACCCACTGTCTCAGAAGAGAACTTTGAGGAAACTATTTCAGGTTAGGGAATAATATCATAATATTCATTGAACTTGTGACTGTTCAAAAAACTCAACCATAAGCAACAACTTATAAACCCATCTCCAGGCCCCACCAGTCCACACATACAYATATACACAAGTTAGGCCCGGTTCAGACGTCAATCTTTTGCCATGTCAAATTTAATTGGAATCGAAGTCAACTCTAATTCATTAAAGTTCGACGTCCATTTCAAATGTCGATTTTAATGTTGCCAGTTGCAATTGACAAAAACCAAAAACCAAAAACCGCTGAAATCTTGAGCCTTTTTATGCATTAGATTCGACTCGACAAAAGATCAACGTTTGAATCARCACCGGTCTTTTGCCGTTTTGTGCAACTTGAGCATTCCACTTTAACTCTTTGCTGACCTTAATTAAATCTGTCGATCTCAATTGATTCAAATGGCGCTCTTCTCATGCACTTAATGTAAATAATTAGATTCGAGGTGGCAAAAGATCAGCAACTGAACCAGGCCTAAAATGATTAGGGTGTTGTCTGCATGGTGAAATGATCACTGCCTTAGATGACTAGTTCCAATTTTACTCCAATTYCAACACTTGATTTTAGTTTACTAATCAAATCCTTTGTAAAAATACATAGGAGAACTTTCCAGTATATCCGGGTCAGACACAGAAACAGAAAGTGATGATGACAATGACTTAAAGATGAAAGGACCTACACAAACTCTCCCAGAAAATCCATTGGAAAWTGATGAAGACAAAGATAGAAGAGTAAAACATGACCGTAGCCATCCAAAATTATTTCTCAGTAACAATAAAAAATGTGTCTTTTCGACATATAGAGCTGTTGTATTTTCCCCTAAGAATATTCCTGATCAAGAAACAACGTTAATAAATAGATTATCAAATTTGACCAAAGAATCRTCGTGGGTAATATTGATGACTGCTGGTGGTCACTTTGCTGCAGCAGTTTTTGATGGAGATTTGGTTGTGGCTCACAAAACATTTCATAGATACACAGTAAGAGCAAAAAGAGGAACCGCTCAAGGAATAAGGGATAGTCAACAAGSTAGACAGCCAAAGTGAGTATTAATTTTAGAAAGATATAATCATAATAATCTGAAAAATCAATTGCTTAACTATTTTAATAGTTAACACATTGAAATTTACAGTATGTTATAAAGTCAGCCAAGAACATTTATATTTGTATTTAAATTTTATACATCTGTTTTTGCCATTAAAAATAATTTGTCTCCTAATTATTATAACAGGTCTGCAGGAGCTAGTCTACGAAGATACAATGAAGCAGCATTGATACAGGTATAGTTAAATCAACGTTACCATGAATAAAACCTTTTTATTGATGGTGCCRCCTTGAATTATTGGATGCCAAGGAAGCAAACATAGAATATGTTGTCTAGGTGTTTCACATATTGTTCCAACTGCAGCTGTACCAGCAAATKTGATTACTTTTTATATGCATCTCTTTGAAAAGCCTAAAGTAACACAACAAGAACCCATGACAGCTGTGTAGTCTATTATAAACTTTGCAATAGTTGYCCCCTCAGCATCCCATAATGTCCTAATTAAAATAATAGAATTCATATGATGTCAGTGTAACTGTAAAAAGGCTTATACTAGACATGCAAGGCACTCAACACATGGGGTAATTGATAGATATAGTTCTAGTTTWCTTTTCTGCACCATCACTTAACAAGTTAAGTGATTGACCTAGCAGAATAGCTACTTCACACCCTTTTGTGTGCAACCTCACTCTTGTAGCAGTGGTCTTGGTCACATCTACCCTGCGAGCAGAATTTCCTTTTACCTTCTCCACAGGYGAGAGAAGAAAAGAAAAACTTCCCTCGTTCAGGAAATTAAAAGGAGGCTGTGCCTGTAGGGTAGATTACACCTTGACCTAATGTCCTCATACCATAGAAGCTCCAGGTCTAAAGAAAATAGAGACTGAGCTCTSTTTAATCTATGAAAGTGAGTGTATTCTTTTTAATGAAATACYAGGAAGTACATGACCTCCTTGAAGCTTGGTCTGAGTACCTGGAAAAGTGTCACAAGATATTCATCAGGGTTCAAACTTACAACAAACCAATGTTCTTTGGTGGGAAAAAGCCACCTTTGGATAAGAGTAAGTAATTCCATCTACCTTTGTTTGTCCAGTGATAGTCATACAGTGGAAGTTTGATCCCAATTGCTAAACCACAGTGAATATATGGAACAGTATTCTTCCATAGGATGACATTGAACATAGGAATTAGTGTAGGAATTAGATGACATTGATAGGAATTAGTGTAGGAAAAAAAATATTGTGCTGTAATTTTGTTTGATTTTCCCGGGGAGGGGGGTACTCTTGCCCGTTTAGGGTAGGGATGTGCCGCTGAGCCCACTGAACCCCGACCCTGTTCCAGAGTAAAATCGCTGAAATTCATACCCTGTTCCAGAGTAGAATCGCTGAAAACCA